ACAACAAAATACATGCTTAAAATAAAACATTAACATACACTTATGTAACAGGGAGATGGGGAAAGGAATTGGCCAATGAGAGACCAGTCTTTAGAACATGTGTGATAGTGACATAGAGTGATCCTGCTTCTAGAAATGCATGATGGAGGGGCCTTTTGTCTCCCCACTTCAGAGCATAGCCAAACATTCTATTTTCTGATGGCTTATCTGCCATCCTACCTGCTGGCCTACTGGAGACAAAATCCATTTAATTGGCTCTGAGGCAGAACTAAGTGTGTATACAAAAGGTGCAGAGACCAATGCTCCCTCTTTTCTATCATGGCAAACAAAGCAGGGGCTACTCTGGGCCATTTATGAGGAGGGGCTCGTCTTTTTTTCCCATCCAGCCACTCTTACATGCATCTGTTAACTCACAGTGTCTCTGCTTCTTTTGTCTATGTTTATTTTTTTTTGATCTTTAGTTGAATGAGTATCAAAGATGGAATAGACTTTATGAGCTTCAGAAAATTCATAAAAAGTTCCCTCAGCAACAGAGCTGGCAATAGAAATAGCTGAGTCTAAGGCAGCTAGCTTGCTAACCTTTGCTGCTATCTGCAGCTAGAGAAAGAACTGATAAGTAGAAGTATGCGTGTTGCAATCTAGGGGTCTAGGGAACCCTGAAATGCAAGGGCAAAGGGCATGGGTTTGCCTCAAAAGAATTCAACCATTCAAGCCTTCTTTCAGTCAAAGTAGTTCATTAAAACACTGGTTGGTGTGGGAGAGATTCCTAGTGAGTCTGCACATTTGATAGGGACAAGATTGATGTTTTTATAGGGAAAAAGATTGTGGAAAGATTTGGATGGGATTGAAGAGTAACAAATAGCCTGGGGTGGGCCAGGTGCAGGCAGTGAGGGCCACAATGAAAAGGCAGTTAAAAGGATTATTGACTAAGATGGGCCAGATGCCTCAGGTGAACCGCCAGAGATCTGGGTTCAGGGGCTTTGGGGTCCAGGTGCCAAAGACGTGGTCAGTCTTTTTCTTTTTAGGGGTCCAGCATGAATCCCATCCCCCATCATAATACTGTGGTTTCACACACACACACGTATTTGTGTCAAATGTCAGCCTTCTCTAGTACAGGGTAGAGTGGGAAGGAGATAGTTTAGAACTTAAAATATAACCCCTCTCACCCAAAAAAAGAAAAGAAAAGAAAAGGAGAGTAAGCCCAGAGTCTGAGCTATACTTAAAATATGAAGTAGCCCATAATCCATTGTTTTCTCCTGGAAAGTAAAGATAACTTCATAAGATTGCTCAACAGATATTTCACAATCACCTCAAATATGTACTGTTCAAGCAAATGGCAAGGCCAGCTCTCCTGGCACAGGGTTGCTCCTAGGTGAGAGAAATGATTATTTCTTATATTAATAACCAATCAATATGAGGAGGGGATGTGCTGGCAGGGGAACCAAAGGTTGTTTTTTTTTTCTTTTTTATTTCCTCATTTAAAGTCCAGTCTCTCAAGGGCATTTCTGACTCTGCCCAAAGAATTCACCCTACCCAGACTATCTTATCTAAGTGGAATTCAATTGCTCATCATTCATTGACTAGGTGGAGGATAGGTCCTTTTATGTGGATTGCTGGACACAGGAGTGGTCTGACTTGAGATGAGTCTCTTTTTATCCATGAATGACAGCTATTAGCGTCATGTACCTAGCCTCTATTAGAATAGGTCCACCTCTCATTATGATATTAATTCTCTCATTAATTGTTAACCGATAAGAATTGATTCTTACCTGCTGGGAGCAACCACTCTTCCAGGAGTATATAAATCCATGATTTGTCTTTGGTTTATGAGAGAAAGCCAATGACCATTACTTTATTAATTATTTCCTAGCTATAATTAATAAATTAATATTAATTACCCAGAAACTATGTCTGTTGGACTTTTCATTCATCACATAAACTATATGTGATCCCTATCTATATAAAACATTTGACTAAAATTTTATTACAAAACTCATGGGCCCATGTGAGGTATACTGATTTATTGATAGAGATAAAGAATAATTATCCTGTAACATTCATAAGAAGTATTGTGATTTAAAACACTAAATTGTAGAGAGCTGAAAATGTCTAAAATTTAGATTACTGTTGTAGTCCATGCAGCCACATGAGTTACCATTCTGTCAGCATGCTCAACCACTGATAAACACTATTTATCAGAGATTCCAGGAAAATGGTTTCTACTATGATGGCTCACCTCTCTTCAGCACTTCCCTCAGTCCCTCAATATTCTACAAATTATCTAAAACTTCATTTTCTTTTTTTTTTTTTGGCTAGGCAATGGGGTTAAGTGACTTGCCCAGGTTCACACAGCTAGTATTATGTGTCTGAGGCTACATTTGAACTGAGGTCCTACTGACTTGAGGGTCAGTGCTCTATCCACTGTGCCATCTGGCTGCCCCAACAGCTTCATTTTCAAAGAGTGTTTTCAGCCTCATTGGATAGCTGATACCTGGAAATTAGAATATACTGAATGGCCTGCTATCACTCCCCAATAATTTACATTCCAACCCCCCCCCGAAAATACCCCTTTTTCCCTCCAACAATATGTGTCAAAAAATGTTGTTGTCCAGTCTTTTTCGGTCATGTCTGACTCTTTGTGACCCCCTTTGGGGTTTTCTTGGCAAAGTCACTGGTTTGTCATGTCCTTCTCCAGTGTCAAAGAATAAAACAACATAAATAAAAGGTATTTTAGATTGGAACTCTTTTTTGGTGCATTTTGCACGAAAAAAGTCATTTCAACAATGATGCTCATTTTCATGAAATAGATAATTCTAAAGATATTTTTTATTGCATCTCACACTAAAGTTTAAAATGTTGTTTTTAAATATTATTTGTTGTATTGGCAATACAAGTCAACCAGAGAATGGAATATTGATGCTATCTTTATATTTCATAGTACCTTTTTTGAAATGTCAAATATAATAACTATTTTTTAAAAACTAAAGTAATAACCATTTAGTATTAAACCTACAAAATACATAAAAATGATCATTTAAGAAAAGAAATCAAGTAGAACTTACATTTCAATTGTTGATACAAACTTATAACAGTATTTTCATATTAAAATTTTCACATCTTAGTTTTTTTTCCACTATTGTTCACAACAATTTAAATACATATAAAGACAACATTAAAATATTCTAGTCTGTACACATTCGGCTTTTAGGATAAAGTTACTTAACAGAAGACATCATCCTATAGAACATGAGTTAGTTCACCTGTACATTTTGATGGCAACTATCAATTTACCCCTTCATTAGAGCCTTTGTAAGTTTAAAACACTGAGAGTCATGATATTAATGATTATAATAGTTTTTCTTTTTTCCTCTTTTTTATCTTTTTAAATTTGTGGAATAAAACAAGCATTTCCATAACATAGTATAATAAAAAAGATGATTGCACATGAAACTGCAAATCTATTATGTACAATTTGCCATTCCTTTTAAACATACAACAAAGTTTTCATATACATTTCTTTTTTTCTTCCCTTCTCCTCTCACCCTAGAGATGGCTAGTATCAGATACAAATAAATATATGTATGTAAAATTATTCCATACATACTTCTATTTATCATTTATTTCTCTGGATACAGATAGGATCTTTTTCATTTTTTTTATAGTTAATTTGGATATTCATAATAGTCAAAATGACTTATTCACAAAAAGTGATTCTTAAAATAATATTGTTGTTACTGTAAACAGTGTCTCTTGGTTCTGCTCATTTCACTCTTCATTATTTCATGTTTTTCTAAGTTCATTGAGCTTATCATTTCTTATAGCGCAGTAGTATTCCATCACAATCATATACCACAACTTGTTTAGCCATTCCCCAACTGATGGGCATCCCTGCAATTTTCATTTCCTTGCAACCACAAAGAAAGTTGCTGTAAACATTTTAGAACATATAGGTTCTATTCCTTTTTCCCTAATCATATTTTAAATAGATCTATGATTATGATATATTTCAAAAATTATTTTGAAGAAATAGTTGCTTATTTTGTGAATTATTAAGAATTTAGGTAAAGCACCGAGAATTTTTGAGCAGCCAACATTGGTCATATTAAAAGTGTTAAGCATCATCAAAAGCAGTTAGCTGCTTAGAACATAAAGTGTACTTCAAATATCAACATTTAAATATATTAAAAATTAATATTTTGGTGAAAGAATTTTTACCATTAATAGAATGAAATATTTTTTGAAACTTTATTTTACCTTTATCTCCCTTTTAATGTTTATTTTTGTGTGTATTTCACAATATAACATATTAGTACAGGAGTATATGCATATAATTTAAAAATAAACGAAGCTAACATTTACTAAGCCAAACTGTGCCTCTTAACAGCTCATTACAGTGAGCTGAAATTCACCGTCTTGTAGCTTATACTTCTAGTTCCTGCCTCTCCATGATAGAGAATGAATTTCCAAATCCAAATTTATTATTTCTGAAGTTTTAAGGACTGTATTTGAAATATATGGTCTAGGTGGTACTCTGGAGAATGAATGGAGCTGAAGTCAGGAAGACTCCAAGGAAGTACGAATCTAGCCTCAGATACTAGCTGTGTGAACCTGGGCAAGTTATTTAATTTCTGTTTGCCTCAAGTTTCCTCATTTGTAAAATGGAGATAATAACAGCACCTACCTGCCAGAGTTGTTGGTGAGGATTAAACGAAAGAACATGTGTTGTAAGCCAAATCTAAAAGAGCTATGTAAATGTTAGATGTTGTGATTATTGGACAATGAGGTGACACAGTAGATAAAGACACAAAGACTGGAATCAGAAGACTCATCTTCCTAAGTTTAAATTTGCCCTCAGCACTGACTAGCTGTTTGACCCTGAGCAAGTAATTTAACCCTATTTGCCTCAGTTTTCTCATCTATAAAATGAGTTGGAGAAGAAAATGGCAGACCACTTAAGTACCTTTACCAGAAAACAAAACCAAACCCAAATGGGGTCATGAAGAGTCAGTCACAACTGAAAACAACTGAACAAATGTTGTATTATTGTGTCTCCACTATATACTTGGGCCTATCCCATGACATTGGGGAGTTGGGGGGAAAAATGAACTCTGAGCAGAGCATAACATTGACAGGCTACTCCTATACTTACTGACCTCAACCTGCTGTTGGAAAGAAGATACTAGAGGCCTTTGGCCTTTTGGGATGCCATGCAGGGGATTTTGCTAAACTCTTGGAAAGCCATCTCCATTTTAGCCTGGGACAGAAGCTGGCTCTGTAGCCTAGGCAGCTGTCTGGGCATATGCTAAGGCGGTGGCTGTGATTCAGTGCATCATCCTATTTTGGAGAACACTCTCAGGGACCTAAGTCTGGTCTATATGGAGTTTCCTCTGCCCACTTCTTACCTCTACCTCAGACTCTGGTATTGCCTGTGGAGGAAGTGAATGAAACTCATTAAATTCATTCAGTCAAGCCCCAATCACTCATCCTGAGCTCAAGAGTGGAGATTCCCACTGGGGAGTTGAGCTTGTCACACAGATGTGGTAAAGAGCCACCTCAGCTCCCAATTAGGAGCTTTTTCCAGAAAGTGTTCCATCAACACAGATTGTGCCATACTCCCACTGACTTCTCACCATCTTCAAACCACATAATTCAGGACAATTGGCTGGCTTCATTTAGGTATATTGACATTTTCATATCCCAAACAATATCTCATACAAATAAGGTCATATTTGCTTGGTTGTATATGTCATTCATGATTATTTTGTCTTATTCTGCATATTTTATTTTTAACTTAATAACTTTTCATGCCTATGATTGAGGGGAAGGACCAAAGCAAGTACCTCCCCCTCCTTTAAGTCTAAGGGTTGTGCTGTTCTGATAAGACAAAGCACAGTCTGGGCTTTTTTAATCCTTAGAGCTATAGCATCCTCCTGTCCAAGGTTGTCTTTTCCTGTAAGAAGTCATTATGAAATACACATGTTAGACAAGCAGCTACTGACCTCTGAGATTGACAAAGTTACTGACAGAACTGTGACCCTCCATTTCTCAGAATCCCTGTTCAATGATATGGATTCAGAAAAAGAAACACAAAAACAGAAAAGGCAGTCAGGGATTTAAAGTCCAGTCTCACACTTGTCTAGGCAAATACATGCTCTGGTTGCAATGTGTGTGAAATCCCCTCTCCCCAAGGAAAGTCCATGGGAGCGCAGGCATTGCCTGGGTCCCAAAAAAGCCAAAGGCAGTTTCTCCTCAATTCCTACAGCCCACAATGTGGGCACCTCTTCCTATCTCAGTTGCCATTCATCTTCAACACAGCCCCATCACAGGGACACACTGGGACCAATCAGTAGCTGCTGTTCACACATTTCCTTTAGCAGAAGGCTAGAACATCAGCCCATCTGGACAAATGTACCATAGGATGCCCCCCAACCCAAAGCTTCTACCTCACCTCCATCTTATATATGATTGCTTTCTACCTCTCATTCTCATGCATTCATCATACTTTATTGTTTACTATACTTATTTGTATATGTGTCATACACTTCTACCAGACTGTAGACTCTATGAGGGTAGGGACTGTGTTCTATCCAATGTTTGCATCTCACCCAACACCTACCATTGTCTGTTACACAACAGACCTTTAAATTAATCTCTACAGAAAGCAGAAACAAGATGGCACTTCACAAGATGACCACAATGGTGTACGAAGGAAAGCAACAGAAGACTTCAGAATGCTGATCAATGCAGTGCCCAACTGTGACTTCAGAGGAGTGATGCAAAGCATGACTGTGGGTGAAGAATACAATTATATATGTTTTAGATGTGGCCAGTATACTGATGTTTCACTTAACTATATTTATTTGTTACAAGGGATTGATATATTTGGAGGTGAGTTACTGCATAGGGAGAGTGAGGTGTTGGTTTTTTTTAAGAATCAATTTAAGAAGAAAATTTAAAGAAAATTTAAGAAGAAAAAAGTCTATTGAATTGAATTTAACCAAATGCCTTGATTCAGAAATACTCCAACCATTCTAAGATGGAAGCTTTTCTCATCAGTGTGAAGTTTCTATCCACTCATGCAGATTCCATCTCATACCCTTTTTTATCCTATATGCTTCTTATCCAGTTCTTCCCTAAATCATTAAGGACTTTCCTAATGTGAAGGCCTGTCTTCATCTTTTAATATTTTATGGTTACCAGTGCATCACTCAAGCTGCCCATTGATTCAGCTTTCATATCTGCCCCATGATTGGTCCATCTCCTCCTTGTTTTTAATGATATTTTCTTCCTTGGATTTTTTGTGATTTCATTGTTAGAAGGAGCTCCTAGGGAAGGACTCTTTCTTTGTTTTTCTCTTTGCCTTTTGAATAGTATTTTATTTTTTCCAACCACATGTAAAAACAAATTTAACATTATTTTTTATTAATTTATTTTCAGTTTTCAACATTTTGGTTCCAAATTTTTTCCCCATCTCTCCCCTCTCCCACCCCAAGATAGTGTGCATTCTGAATACCCCTTCCCCCTATCTGCCCTCTCTTCTATCACCCTACCTTCTCTAACATTCTTTTTTTATATAAAACTTTAAGTTGCAAATTTTCTCCCTCCCCCTTCCTTAAGATGGCAAGCAATTTGATATATTTTCAATCACATAAAACATATTTCTATACTGATACTCCCTCTTTGGATGCAGAACAACACCTCCTCTGCAAATTACAGTCTTAGAGAGTTGCCTAAAGCATCAACAGGTTAAGTGACTTACCAGGGGTCACATAGCTAGTGTGTGTATCCAAGGCAGGACTTGAATCAAGCTTGATCTTCCCAATCCTGAGATCATCTCTGTATCCAATACAACAGTGGTGTCACACTCAAATAGAAATGGGGGAAAAGGCATTTATTTGTACATAAGAATCCCTATGGACCACATATTGACTTAGCTTTAAAATATAATATCTAGGTGGCACAGTGGATAGAGCACTGGCTTTGGAGATAGAAGTACCTGAGTTGAAATCTGACTTACTAGCTGTGTGACCCTTGGCAAGTTGCTTAACCCTGATTACCTCCAAAAATTATAATAATAAAATGTAATATCTATGTCTTATTGTATTTTTACTATTTTGTTAAATATTTCCCAGTTGAGTTTTAATGTGGTTCAAGTTTCGCTCAGGAGTGTTGTGGGCTGCATGCAAGCCTATGACGCCATTGCACTAGGGCATACAGCTTCTCATTTCATATACAAGAAGTCAATCACATCAATCCAATAATAAAAAATGAATTAAGCATCAAGTGCCTATTATGAACAAAACAATGACATTTTTAAAAGTCTGATGTAAAATGGTTACAGAACAACAATAGCATTACAAGAGTCCTGTTCCTGTTCCTCAACAATAGCATTATAAGAGTCAGTCTTTGCACGTGCATCTCCCACCAAAACCTAAAATTTAACATGTCCAGATGGAATTCATCTCTTCTCAAAACTTCACTCTTTTCAGCTTTCCTGTTTTAGTTGATGGCACTATCACCATCTCAAGGTGGTGCACCTGGATTAGATTCTGTAGATCACTCTAAACAGAAGTTAGTTGGGTGGGGTCTACCCAAGATCATGGAGCATGTGCCCCAAGGATTAGGCCAATCTCATCATTTTTGGCTCTCCTTTGAACCCCTCAAGGGCTGGTCCTTGAATGAGGATACAGAAAGGAAAAACTTAAATCTTAATTTAGCAATTGGTTATTAAAATCATAGAAAAATAATAATTTCTGTCAATACAAAGAAATGAGTGAAATGAACAAAGGAAAGATCAAATTATTCTCGGAAAAACTGAGAAGACAAAAGGTACTAAAAATGGAGGGGACCAAGGACAGTGTTTCACAGAGGATGATGGCCCAAGCTCCTCTGTGAAGGTAAAGGAGTATGAAAGGTGGAAATGAAGGGGGACTGTACTTTAGGCATGGGGAAAACCTGTGCCAAGGCATAGAAGCAGGGGATAAGATGTCAAGGCCAAGAATGACCAAATAGTACCATTTCACTAAAAACTAGAATGGAACAGAAGAATGATATGAAACAAGGATAGAAAGGAAGGTTGGAGTGAGACTGTAGAGCATCTTCAATATCCTATTGTGGAATTTGTAGTTAATCTTAGACCATTAGGGAGTCAATGAAAGTTTCTAATCAAGGAGTGATAGGGACAGACTTGTGGCTTAGGAAGAATATTTTTGCAGCTTTGTGAAGGCTAGATTAAAAAGCAGGAAAATAAATGGCAGAGGTAGGGGTGGGGGAACAATTAAGAGACTTTAAATAGTTGAGGCATAAGGTGATATATATCTGAACCAGGATAGTAGTCTTGTCAATGGAGAGGAAGGAGCAGTTGGGAGAGATATTATGGAAGTAGAATGTATGTGGGATGTACAATGTGTGGAGAGTGAATCAAAAGCCAGATGGAAAGGGACTAAGGAATGAATTGTTAGTGAGGAAGAAGAGGCAGCAAGTGTAGACAATTCTTTTAATGAGTTAAGCAATGAAAGGGAGGCTATATGTGTGTGCATGTGTCTCTGTATGTATGCATGTGATGTCATCTGCTAAGAGGGTAAGTGGCATTAGGGGCCTGAGGACAGAAGATCTGGAATAATCTGAGGGAGTATGATAGGCAATTAAGTGGTATGAGAATTATGAATAATTTTCTCTCTAAGCGTGCGATTGAGGCAATGAAAGTCCCAGTGAGGACAAAGAATAGGTTTCAGAAGAGCAAGGGAGATAGAGAGAGATAAGGTCAGGTGACCATGATCATGAAGGGTAATTTTAATAGTCAAGAGCAGCGAGGAAGAACAATTTTAAATGACAGAGAGGTCTAAGGTGTGACCAGCCCCGAAGTTAGCTGATGTAAAACAAGTCAAATCCCTCTTCTGTGACAGCTTGTCAAATATTTGAAGACAGCTATCATGTCCCTCAAAGTCTTCTTCAAAAAGACTTTAAATATCCCCAATTCTTTCAACTATTAAAGGTCAACCTTGATTTTGAGTGGATACAGAAACCTCAGTGTACCACAAACATGAAGTGGCCTTGTTGGGGTGGGGAACCTCACTTTGCAAGTTAGGGAAAATTTTTAGCACATTCTCCCTGCCCCAAGTCTTTCCCTAATTTAAGAGCAGGGACTACCTCATATTTTGTCTTTATATCTAGTGTGTCTCATATAGCAGGAAAAGAAAAAAATGCAGCTACTTAATAAATGTTTGGGGAATTAAAAGGTTTAAAAAAACCTTTCACTTATATAATCTAGTTTATCTTTATAACAGCCTCCTAAACTAGCTATAAGTGTGAAAAGCGGGTATGTGTGAAGGGGAGAAGGCTCATATGTATTGTTGTTGAACAAACAGTTGTTCCCTAATTCTTTACCTTTGCAATTGTTTTTCTAAACCAAAATAGATTTTTAGTGCCAGTTGGACTATAAACCAGGTGTACTACTCTAAACAAAAATCACTAAATCTTTCTGGAGCCCTCTTCTGTCTCTGTGAAATGAGGGATTCCAATCTTAGCTAATCTCTAAGCTCCTTTTTACCTCTAAACTCCACGGCTTAATTTTTTTTCTATTAAATTCAATCTTGCTATAGATTCACCCAGTCATTGCAGAAAGTTGAGATCTTTGTGCATTTCAACTCATTAAGCTTACATATGTATGTATGTATTGAGCAGGATAGGGCTGAAGGCAGAACCTTGCGGAGATCTTAGCAGCTTAGCAAATGGGGATCTGGCTGCCACACTAGTGCTGAGGCCAGCAGATTCTCCTGTGGACAATTCCACTCTAGAAAGACAGAAACCACTTGCAGGGTATATGATGGAAGACTGAGCAGAAGGTTCTGATGATAATGGTGAGACTAGCCCACTGTCATTGTATATCAACAGAGGGGTGTATAGGATGTTCAAAAAAGACTAGCACCTCTGGTGTGAGGGTTTGACAAGCCCTTTTCAGGGCTGCTTATCCACCTTTGTTGTCTACCTGGCACTCAATCCTCATTTGTGGCTTCAAGAAGCTGTAGTATGTACGGTGGTCACACCCATAGTGAGTTAGAGGGATGTCTACTCCAAGCATGTGAAGACTTCCTCCAGGCAGAATGGACAGATGAGAACAATTTGTTCCAGTGGCCATGAAGTGGACTGAGAAGGTGCTTTTGAGTGCTTAGAGCTTGATCAGATGTTGAAGAAGCCAAGGTCATCCACTGCATCCTGCTCTTTTGCCAATTATTTTGTCCTGTCACTGGACTTTGATGACTCAGGAAGAGAGAGTGAGGCTGAGACTTTGTGGCAGCAGATATGGGCAATAGTCCTGAGGACTTCATCAGTGGCTCTCCCTGCAGCCAGCACATAAAAGCTCTAAGTGGAGCTCTTGGTTGCTATCTATAAAGGTTGGATGATCATATGACTGTTGTAGACACAGGCTAGCTGGACTATACATCATTTCACTTACAATCTATCATCTTCTTTCTTTTCTTTCATTTCTTCCTAAAGTCCACATTTCCTGCCTTCCCTTTCTCTTATAGTCTTTGGTGGTTTTCTTCTATTCCATGAGGCAGATGTTATCAGCTGTTATTTGCCTGCTGCTCTCTGAGAAAATCAAACTGATTCCATTCTGTGAGTCTATTCTGTATTACCACTGACATTTTTGTAACTGCCTAAGTCATGTTTTATTGTCTCTGAGTTAAGTTTAGAAGTATAGTTTTCCTGTAAATTACTCTTGTCTCTAACTTTAGAAGTTCAGGTTTTCTGTGAAATCAGTGACCTATTTTTATGTGAAGGAAGTCTGTTATCTCTGTCCCACTAGTTGTCCTTCAAAGAATCTGGTCTGTTATTTCTGTCCTTCAAGGAAGTCTGGTTTGTTACCCATGTATCATTAACTAACTTTGTCGGTAGACATAATCAACAAAAAGATGGAAGGAGGGGTGGTTGATAGCTCGACCTCCCATACCTCATCTTCAGCCATTCATATTGTTTCCCACATCTACGATGCTACCTTTTACTATGGATGCTCTTCCTTTTGTCTATATAAATTATTTGTAAGCCTCACCTTGGGGTCTTAGCTATTGATGAGGAGGCTAAGACCCTTTTTATTGGTAAATCTGTGCCTTGCTAATAAATCAATCATGCTCAGAACTTTGTGACTCTGTTCACCTTAATTTCAATTGGGACACTTCCAAGAACCTTTTCCTCGAGATAGGGCTCAAGAGCAAGGTCAGCTGATGCTATCCAGACAAGTAACACTGGACTAGCTTTGATATCACTAGATTACTATCATTTACTTCCCTATACTGCTGAGATAGTCAAGCTGTGAAGCCACGCCAACAAAGATACCTGTGAACAGACACCAAAGGGGCAAAACAGATGATGATGATCCAAGGCAAAGATGGAGGCATTGCCAACCCTGTGCTTCCTAGCCTTTAACAAACTTTCTCCCAAGGTCATTCCTAAGATTCCTCTACATTATCTTCTATGCCAAATAACTCATCTCCTCATCAACTCTTCTCTCACCAAATAATAACTATTCTGCCTACCCATTATCTTTTACTTTTCTGGAGACCTTTCTAAAGGCAATTAGGTGTTGCAGTGGATAGAGCCTTGGGCCTGGAATCAGGAAGACCTGAGTTCAAATCTGGCCTCAGGCAAAAATCATTTAACTTCTGGTTTCCTCAACTGTAAAATCAGGAAAAGGAATCCAATCTACAACATGACCAACAAGTGATTATTCACTGATTCATTCATTCAAGAAGATTAAGAATCTATATGCCAAACATTGCTCTAAATGTTAGAGTGTGTCAGCTCTGGTAACAAATGACCAAAGAGTCACAAAGATTTTGCAACCACTGTTAACTCCAAAAATACCAAAGAGCTCATACAGGTTAAAAGCAAAAAGCTTTCTTTATTCCATTGAGGGAGAGAAATTAGACACATGTGCTGGGGCCTCCTCTAGTAGGAGACCCAAGACAGTGGGGCTAACCCTTGATTTCTATATTTGTGGCTAGATAAAGAACTGAATAGTATAGCATAGTGACAGTAGTGTGGCATAACAGCAACAGTGAGGCAAGATTGTCTAGTGACCAAAAGTCCATTCATAGCAAGGCTTAGTGTCTGGGCCTGATGGTGCTTGCCCAAGCTCAGGGATCATCAGTTCTGTTGCAGCTGTGTTCATCCAGAGGGTGAGCTCAAAAGATTGTAGTTATGCCAAGCTCAGGGCACAGCTTGCTTGTTGGATCTTAGCTCTGGAAAACAGGGTGTCTCCTAATAGTAGTAAAAAGAGAGGAGTAAGAAGAGAGGGGTGGCCTTGGATTCTGACAAGAGACAAACACAAAAAACTGTCCCTGCCCACAAGAAGCTTATATTCTATTGGAAATAACCTGTATATAGATAAATACGGAATATAAAAAAAATTGGAGAGGGAGGACATTAGCAACTAAAGGGTTGGCAATATTTGGAAACCATCACTTTCTCCTTCTTTCCCATATTTCTAGGTAGCTACAGGTGGTTTCCCTCAGGACCACTGGACATGGTAAGAACCTAAAGCTCTCCTGTCTAACTGAGCACAGTTTAGCCTTGTGGTCCTCCAAAATCTCTGTGATCCCAGGGACATCCTAGGGACACGAACCTTCCTGGGTCTTAGCAACCCAGAGCTACCAAGAGATCATTGCTAAGTGTAGAGGGAGAAGTTTCAGTTGAGTGGCAAGTCAGACTGCAAGGGGATGAGAATTGAATGAGAAGAGAAGTGAGGGTATATGCAACTTTTTTTTTCTAGATAAGAACGAAGAGTAGATTCATTATGAGTGAGAAGAGAGGAAATGAGAGTTGAAGGTGAAGTAGAAGGAAAGGAAGTCATATTTAAACTGTTAGATTTTAAAGTTCCAATTCTTGTCAATAACCTGTGTTTTTTTGTGCTTCAACTCCATTTCATCCATAGAATCTCTGTTATTTACCGTTTCGATTTCTTGGTTCCTTCCATTTCTCCATTTTAATAAATTAAAATGGATGTTGGCTCTGACAGACTCTGTCATCTACCTGGAATTTTCATTCTGTTGTTTTAAGCGTTCAGGCTTTGTCTCTGCTAGAGTGATCAGATGATCATTTTCCTGTACCAAATGTCCACCTATGTAAAACAACGAAGTCCCCCAAGCAAAGAGAATGAGCATAATCCAACACCAGGAGCCAGTCCTTGGCCTCATTTTCAGGTTCTCAACTCTCTCCCTTTGCATCTAGAGCTCAAAGAGCTGCAAACAACATGGTGGCTTGGACTAGCACAAAGGTGGGTTGGTTACCTTTTTTTTTTAAATTTCATCACACGATGCTTCAAACAAATTAGTATTAGTTGGCAGTCCTGGGGCAATTTCTTTCAGAAGTCCTTCTGGTGTTGTGAATAAGAAGCTTTCATTTTGAATCCTTGGGTTTTACATTTATTATCATTCTTTGCTTGTTTACACATGATGACAAGATTTTTATCTTGGTTAAGGCAATAATCAGAAGATGCCCACTTCTACATGTTTTGTACTGCTATTTCCTCATTATCTCAGTAGGCCATAGGCAGGTTGCTATTTTTAGAATAAACTCTACAAAAGTCCAGACTGGTAAGTTAGGGGCTGTTGAGGTTTAGGGGTTCCAGTGCCCCCAAAATATCAAGAGCAAGAGATGCTGGTCCTGCCCGAATGAATTCAACCCAAGCCTTTTTTCAGTCAAAGACAAGGTTTATTAGAACATCAAGTAGGGGCGGGTGTGATTTTAAGAATCCACCATATTAGCCAGACTCTTAAGGAATCTAAGCATTTGTATCACTAATGCAAGTGGGCCAGATTTTAAGAATCTGTATTTATAGGCAACTTTTAAAAAAGAGTTTGGCCAAGAAAGGTAGAGACATAGAATATTGAGGGTACAGATCAAGGTCAAGTGGGGGCCATCTCCAGTCTCCTGATCTATATCTTGCAACTGGACCCAGACAGCTCTTGAGAATAAAATGAGTCTGGTGACTTTGCAAGGCCCTCCCTCACTTAAATCCAATTCACTTGTAAGTCATGGCATCACCTCCCTGAACTCATGGTCCTCTTCAAGAACAAAGGACAAACAGAAACAACAACAAGGTCAAGAAAAGGATTCTGTTTTGTTTTCTCTTGGAGAAGACAGGAGGAGTGGGAAGTAGAAACTCCTTGTTGTGATTTAGTGTTAGGGGGTATGAAAGAGAGTGAATAAAGTACTAGAGAGCACGACCAGGGAAGGAGTCAAGTTTCTCTGAGCGCCAGAAGACAAAAGTAGTGCAAGACAAAAAGGTCTAAAATGAAGGAATTCATCCATCTTTCGCCCGAAAGAGGGTGGGTGGGGGGCACCAGGCTAACACTTTCTGAGTCAGCCTGTTGCATTCATGGACAGCTCTAATTGCTGAAAGTTTTTCCATACATTGAACTGAAGTCTCTTTGAAATTCTACCTAGTGCTGGTTCTCTAGGGCCAAGCAGAGAATCTCTTTTCCACAAGAGAGCCCTTCAAATACTTGAAGATGACAATAGCATCAACCATTCTCATTCCCAATTCATCTCTTCCACCCCCTCCCAATTCATCTCTTCCACCTCCCCTTCTCCCAAAACCTTCCCTCTCTCCAGGTTAAAAATCCCACATAAGAGTCCCGATTACCAATTCTGTTTCCCAGGAAAAGCACCACAAAATGTTCCCTGGGCAGTGGCCCAAAAGGTACCCTCAGGCCACCTTCTTAACATAAATGCAGTAGAAGTAGGATTGGGGAATAATGGACACCTTGGTGTCTTGGGGGAAGAAAAGCCCAATGGCAAGGAAACATAGAGACTTGGGACACCAGTCCCGATGGAGGTTGAACTTCACATCGCTAGGAGGCTGCTGCAGGGCAGAACGACACTAAAAGTGGGAGTGAAGTAGAGACATGCTGGGGAAGACTCAACTGGGCTGTGGCCAAGATGGGAGGAAGCCTGCCATTGATAGCTCCTTATTTTAGTTAATTATTTTTGCTAATTAGGTACTGAGCTTGGTTGTTTCTTCTTTCAGAAAGTGGTCAAATGCAAGTATCACCCTCTAAATTTCTCTGCTCTAGGGATGGTTTTAGTCACTCTACCCTAGTTAAAATTCTGTTTCAGTTCCTTCAGTTAATCCTTTTATGGCATGCTATCCAGTCTTTTGCCATCCTGGTCACACTCCTTTGGACATATTGCATCTTGTATATGCTTCTTAAAATATATGATAGCAAGGAACAGCTAGGTGGCACAGTGGATAGAGCTCCACACATTGGAGTCAGGAGGACCTGAGTTCAAATCTGATCTCAGATACCTGACACTTACTTGCTGTGTGACCCTGGGCAAGTCACTTAACCTCAATTGCCTTATCTATCTATCTATCTATCTATCTATCTATCTATCTATCTATCTATCTATGGTATCACCAAGAGAATGCAGGCTTTGGAGTCAGGCAACCTAGATTCAAATTTCGCCTCTCAGCCTTTTGATATGTGATCTTGGGCAAGTCACTTAACATTCTGGGCCTCAATTTCTTCATCTGGAAAATGAAGGAGTTGAACTAGATAACTTTCTATGGATTTTTCTAGCTATGATCTAGGATCTTATGCTGTCACAGAAAATTCCGACTATGGTCTGACAACGGCATCTAATCCATTAAAGTTTTTTCTTTCATAGTTTCATAGATTTAGAGTTATAAAAAGGATCTCAGAGATTATCTAATATAATCCATTCATTTTTTCAGATTGGGAAACTGAGGCTAGAGAGTTTATAAAACTTGCTTAATATCACAGAGGTACTAAGAACCCCAAGTCTTCTAGTTCCAAACTCAATGTTCTTTTCCATTGTACCATGCTTTTAAAAAACAGCCAGAAATTTTAAAAATTCACAGTCAAAAAATGGAGGCAAAATTGATCATTTCCAAACATTCAAAAACCAAAGAATATCTGCTCTAATATTACTATTTAATGCAATACATCTAGGATACTTCTTAGCTAAAGGGAATAGGTTGATCTTATTTATTTTTGGTGGGGAGGGAAGGGAATCATGGTTGAGTGACTTGCCCAGGGTCACACAGCTAGTAAGTGTCTGAGGCTGGATTTGAATTCAGATCTTCCTGACTCCAGGGCTAGTGCTCTATCCACTGTACCACCTAGCTACTCTGAGCTTGTTTTTTTTTTAAACTAATCTTCAGTATCTTTGTTCTCCCTCAAGATTAGCAGGGTTTTTTTATACCCAAGGCTTCTTCCTTGGTGGCTTGTGTAGAGACTGAGTCTGGTGAGTATATTGCAGGAGATTAACTAGAGGCATAGCAATAGAATGGCTGGAGGCCACCTCTCCTTGAATTTTTTATGCACCAACCTACCAGGTTCCTGGCCAAGATACTCATAATCCTTCTCTGCCAAGAACTCCAGGTTTTTGTTTTTTGGTTTTTATTTCCTCTAAATCTAGATAGCTCTTTCTTATACTCTTGTTGAAATGGTTGACTGCCTGTCCTCCTCCTCATTATGTTCTGCAACCTTAATTATGCTGTCACCCACTGCCAGTCAAGTTGTGAGACAGGTGAGGGCCACAGACAAAAATGGAGCCAGAGGAAGCCAATCTGAAAAGCTCAGAGAGTCTCCACAGTTTCCATTTTTTAGCAGATTTGGAAGAAGGGGGAGAAGAAAAAAATCAGATCTTTTCTTCCATTTATATCTCTTGATACCTGCTTCAATTCCATGATGGTGGTAGACTATCCTTAAACCCCAACTTTTAGGAAGAAATTCTCCCAATTAAAGCAGTCAAGTCCCAAAGAACCTTTCTCAGCTCAGCACCACCTATACCTGCTGAGAGTGGCCATCAATTCTTCCCTCCTGTGGCAGAAATCCTCTCCTGATCCTGAGTTATCTCCACTCATTGGTTTCCTGGCATCATTGTAATGGAGCACAAACGGAGCTGGCCCTATAAACAGAACACTGCTTCCAAGGCAACCATTTGTATAACTCAGAGCTTTCTAACCAGTAAAAAGGTGAGGACTTTCATTTTCCTATGACCTTCTCTACCATTCCACCACTCCCTTCCATCTGGTTTTCACCTGCCTTACTTCTCATGAATTGTGATGATATATGGACATTTTTTGCCTGTTAACTATCAGAATTCAATTTACCTTGTTCTCTTTTGTCTGATATCAGGAAACACTCATGCTTGGGGTCTTTTTTGTTTTAATTATGAGTTAAATTCTGGATAGAGGTTGCCCATTTAATGGTTAGGTGTGGGTATATGAGATGACTGAATTTATTGTGGAACAATATATGCAGTAAGTTGGGGGTCAGGGGGAGAGTGAAGTTGGAAGCATGGTGATATGAAAGAGGCTTGGAGTCAGAATACCAGACTTCTCTTTCTAGCTCTGCTACTTAATGGAAACAAGTACAAATAGACATTTGTAAAACTCATAAATATGTGAAAGGTACTTCCTTCTTGTGTGTCCTTTGGTAAATTACCTCACCTCTCTAGGCTATTCCTATCTCATCTTCCCATTTCTGTTAAAGGCATTACTCACCGTCCAGTCACCTTGGTTTGCAACACTGACATTATCCTTGAGCCTTAGTTTCTCTTCACCCCACATATATATCCATACACACAGTTCCAAGCTATGCCATGTGCACTCTGGCTATCCTCCCCATTCCCTTCTCACTGTAACCTGGACTCTGCTCCCTGGGACCTTGGGCCCCAGTAGGTCAGCTTTTACCCTTTCTTGCCCAGAACCAGACTTCCTATTACTTTTCAGTCGCTTCCATAGTGGTCTAATATCCTGCATACTTTCAACTCCCCTTTATATGTTGCCTTACTGTTAACTCCTTCAGGGCAGGGACTATATTTGTACTCTCAGCATTTAGCACAATGTCAGGCACATAGGGATGTGTTGCAAGAAGCAAAGATTAATGATGCTTTTTCATTCATTCTTTCAAGTAGACGTCAAATATTGTCATTTCTGCCTTCACATCTTTAACATGTCTCTTTTCCCTAGTCACATGGCCACAACCTTAGTTTATACCCTTATCAGCTCTTGTCTAGACTGTTGTGAGGCTTCCTAATTGTCCTCCCTACTTCATTTCTTTCCCCTTGCCAATCCATTCTACAAGCAGCCACCAGATTGATTTTCTTAAAGTAAAGGTCTGACCATATCAGTCTCCCATTCAATAAAAAATTGCCTTTAGAATAAAATACAAGCTACTCAGTTTGACTTTCAAAGACCTTCACAACTTGGTGACAACTTACATTTCCAAGGTTATATTATACATTCATTATGGTAGCCACCATTAGATTATCCCACCTATTTTAAGTAATACCCTTTGTTAGGTTTGAACACTTTTTGATTGACTTAAACAACTAGAATTGAGTGTGAACAGAGCCTACATAGGTACCTACCTGACTCAATCAAAGCCATTATATGAAAGATGGGATCATGTCATAAGGAATTTACGTAAAAGGAAGAAGCTATCTAAGTTCTCAGAGGAAAAGATTCTGAGGGTCTGGATTCAAGAGGATGGCCTTCCAGCATGCACCTAAGGAGCAAATGAATTGTGAAAGAGAGGGGCATTATCTACAACAGAGGCTCCTAAACTTATTTGGCCTGCTACCCCCTTTTAAAAAAAATTGCTCATATTTAGCATCCCTCTGGAAATCTTTCTTTAACCCTTTAACATTTTTTAAAAGTTGGCATCTTTTCAAAAAATGTGAAATATTTTTGTTTTTTGGTGAGGCAGTGGGGTTAAGTGACTTGCCCAGGGTCACACAGTGAGTAAATGTTATGTGTCTGAGGCTGGATTTGAGCTCAGGTCCTCCTAACTCCAGGGCTGGTGCTCTATCCACTGTGCCACCTAGCTGCCCCTAAAATATTTTTAAATGATGTATCTTAAATTGAATAATTTATTGTAAATTTGTGGGATTTTTCCCGCATTGAAATTTTGATGATGCAATTTTGTATCATGCAACCACATAGCACTGTATGGTAAAAAAGTCATTACAGGCACATATTCCTGCTGATGCATGCTGAACTTCCCAACAATGCAAGACAGGTCACCTGCCAACACTTGCTTGTTAAGAACTGTTGGCAAACTTGGTCACTGATCAGTTATAATTTGCATTTTGTGTGTTTATTTGGAAAATAATGTGACCACTAAGACTTTAACTCTGTTACATGACAGAAGAAACATAAGAATGGCTTTTTCAAATTCTTCTTCTCTTCTTTCCTTATGCTTCCACAGCCCCATTATTTTTGTTTAATGGCCCCCAAATTGCACCTGAGGTTACTACCACTCCTCTGGATCATTCTAGTGCCCCCCAAGGGGGCAGTATTGACCACTTTGGGAACCTATAATAGGAGAATTATCAGCTCTACAAGCATTTAGGAGCAGAAGACTTAGGCTGGGAGAAGATCAAGAAGAAACTGGGCTCATTCCCCAACCTTCCCCTCCCCAGTCTCTGTCTCACATTCGCTATAATATGATCTGGTCTTTGTTACCCTAATGTTTCTATTGAATTGAATTTTGCCTCAATTGCAAAGAGGTTGGTGGTTAACTAGGGCAAGATATAAATGTGAAGTTAGGTTAATATGTTAGGAATTTTCCTTACTGGGGACTCAGAGTCATTGTGACTGAACTCAGAACTTTTCATCTAAAACAAATTCCCTAAAGTTGAAGAAGAGGGAAGCTTCTGGACCTTAGGGGCCTAAACTCTATCATTGTAGGCGTAAAACAAACTAATTATTATAACACAGTGCTACTTTCCCTGATATGGCCAAATTATTCTTGCTGCTCCTCACACACCATCTCCATAGCAGGCACACGTCCTCTCCCCTTACCTTCCCCTCTTTGAATTTCTGTTTGCTTCAGAACTTCTCAAAGTCTACCTTCTATTGCTTCAGAACTTCTCAAAGTCTACCTTCTATATGAAACCTTTCCTTATCCTCTCGGTTACTATTACCCTCTCCCCACCAAAAAAATAAAATAAAATTTCGTGGTATTTATTCTGTGTATACTTTTTAAATATGCTAATTATTTATATACTAATTGTCTCTGACAGAAAACAAACTTCTTGATGACAGGGATTATTTCATTTTTTGTGTTTGAATCCCCACTGAATAGCACAGCACCTGAAATAATAGGTTCTTAATAAATACCTGCTGATTAATTAATTGATTTCCTTATCTGTAAAATGGATTGGACTAAATAATTTCTAAGGTTTCTTCTAGCTCTAAATTCTGTATCTCTGATTATCCACAGAATCACATATGATCACTGATGTAGCTTAGGTATCCGTTGGTGGGTGTCCTTGGCGTCCTGGTTGAAATAGCCATCCACATTGGGCTTATGACACTTCTTTTCACTACCTACAAAAAAGTGGTTACCACTTAATTATTTGAGTTACTGAGGAGCATATTATATATTTTGGCCACCAGGTGGCACTACCATCAAGCTACCCACCCAGTGGTTCAATCCGTGGGTATTTAAGTGACGTGCTAGTTTTCCCAAAGGTCAAAGTAGCCTGTAAGACAATTGTTTGCAAATTTTCAGACCATGATCCTCTCCCACCCCACCAAGTTACCCTGAGTGTTGCCCTCAATTCAATATAGATCTAAAGGCATGAAAATAGAATATTATAGTAGTTCTAAAATATTGAGATTGTTGAAAACCTAATTACTCCTGTAGAGGGAAATTTGGGAAATCCGTTCTCGTTGACCAACCATACAGGTGAGATCCAGAAAGCTGGCTTTTTGCATGATTTATTAAAAATACTGTAAAGAAGGTGTCAGCAAAATTGTAAAGAGGCTATTTGAATTAATCTAATAATCCTAACCTTCTCTCTACTTATAGATGGGGAGAAGGGGACAAGGGAGGAGAATAAAGGAAGGGATTGTGAGTTTGGAACTCATTGAAATTTGAAACAGTATTGCCTCTGGAATGCAAGATTTTTAAAAATTTATGTTTAAAATAAATTTTGCATATAATTGGAAAAAATATTAAAAAAAGAAAAAAAGTAAGAAATAGTATTGCTTCTGAAGTCAGAAGACCTGAGTTCATCACATATCTGATAAGCACCACTTGTATGACTTCGGACAAGTCACTTAACTTCAGTGGATATCAGCTTTCTTCTTCTATAAAATAAGAGGGTTGGGCTATTGGGCCTTCTTAACCTTGGGCTACATAAACTTTTTTTTTAAGAATTGTATTTCAATATATTTGCTTCCTTTGTGATCTTGTATATTTTATTTTATACATTCAAAAACATTCTGAGAAAAGACCCATAGTTTCACCAGACTTCCCAAAGCATCTGTGACACAGAAGGGGTTAAGAATGCCTGGCTGGGTATGGTGGCATACTCCTGTAATCCTAGTCACCCGAAGACTGAGGATGGTGGATCTCTTGCGCTTCAATGGACTATGCAGATCAGTCTGTGCTACATTTGGCATTAATGTGGTGAGCCTCTGGAGTTGTGGGTAGGGAATATCAGGTCTCCTAAAGCCAGTGGTGAACTGGTAAATATTTAACAGCCTGCTCTACCAAAAAAAAAAATGTACAAATGACATATTTTAAGTTTAATCTGCATTATTAACATTTTCCCATCACTTTCCCAGGTCTAGATGAAGTGGTGTCAAACTCAAATAGATAATTACAAAGGATTCCTGCTGCCCGCAAGTCGACTTGAGAACTACATATTAACATTATCTACGTTCTATTGTATTTTTATTTATTTTGTTAAATATTTCCCAGTACATTTTAATCTAGTTCCCCCTGAACTAAGGAGTGTTGAAAGGTGCGTTTGGCCCCTCTGATCTAGACCAGTAGTGTCAAACATAAATAGAAATGGATCCCTGTGAGTTATAGATTGACTTAGAAAAACACAAGTTAACATTATCTATGTTGTATTGTGGAGGCAGCGAGGTGGCTCAGTGAATAGAGCTCTGGTCCTGCAGTCAGGAAGACCTGAGTTCAAATCTAGCCTCAGATGCTTATTTAGCTGTGTTACCCTGGGCAAGTCACTTAACCTCCATTTGCCTTAATCCACTGGAGAAGGAAATGGCAAGCCACTCTAGTATTCTTGCCAAGAAAATCCCATGGATGGCATGGTCCACAGGGTCATAAAAACTTAGACATGACTAAACAACAACATTAATATGATGTTGCATTATATTTTTAAATTTATTTTGTTAAACATTTCCTGATTACATTTTAATTTGGTTCTACAAAGGCTGGAGTTTTCCCCTTTTGGTGACAATCAACAAAACAATAAATCAGACCCTGACTTATGACTTTGAAAATTTAAGAATGGTTCTGTGGGTTAGACTCAGCTCCAGTACACCCCACTGCAAAGCAAACTGTCCTAGGTCAGAAGCAGAGCAGTTAAAACTCAGGTGCCTATCAGTGGTGAGACAGGCCTGTGAGTAGCCTCTGCGTTTCCAGCCTGAGCAAGATGGAGTCTGAAAAAGCAGCAGTGACTCTGGCTTAGACAATCTTTTAAGATTCCTTTCAGCTCCAGCTCCAGCTCTGTGAACCTGAGACTGGCTCAGTGAACAACTGGAGAAAATGAGCAAGCCCTAGAGGTTGGGATTATTCTCCTGCCTGATCTTACCAGCAGCTCCAGCTCACAGTGGTTGTTGGTCCATTTCAGTCTTGCTCTGGTCAGGTGTCTTCCATATCACCAATCTTGAATGGTAAGGGCTGATATGTCTTGCCAGTATAATTCCTCAGCCCTACACTGCTCCAGTCTCTTTGCCAGAGCAGCTCTCCAGGATCTGTCCCAGCTCATCTTTTGCTGTGCCCAGATCTGAATCAAGGAGCAGAAGTGGAAGCAGGGGTGAAGACCACATGGAAGGCACAGAATGGAGTCAAGATACTGGACATCTCTTCCCAGGATGAACCTCATGAATAGCTAAAGGGGAAGGGTGGAGCAAAAGCTGCCCTGTCTCTCAACCTCTTACATAGTTTCCTCCCGATTTTTTGTTCCTTCTCAGTCTGTCCAGCTTTTGATGTAATATAAGCTATTTCCCTTGTGGCAGCCTTCAGGGTCGCTCAAACTTCCATGGAGATGAAATGCATGGCAAACCTTCCTTCACGTAGAATCTCAAAGTAAGAAGGAGCTTCAGAGATCATCTAGTCCAACCCACACCCTGAACAGGAATCCTCTCCACAATGAACTCAACAGATGAGAATCCTTCTCATTTACTTTTCTTGCTTCGATATTACAGTAATCCATAAATTCACTGATGTGAGAAATCTTCACATTGGCCTGAGTTGTGACTCGTCCATACGGTAACGAGAACTTGCAACAGTTGTCTTGGTCCTTGTCCTTAGATTGAAGCTTTGGAGCCTACTTTTGTCAATATGTGACTCCGTGCTAAAGAGTCCACACTCTCAGATGGCAGAGTCCTTTTAATGGTTGCTCAGCCAAAGCTGATATTTCCGCATACTTTTTATTTGTTTGATTGTTTATAACATTTTAAAAAAAGTTTTGAGTTTGGGACAGCTAGATAGAGCACCGGCCCTGGATTTAGGAGGACCTGAGTTCAAATCCGGCTTCAGACACATGACACTTACTAGCTGTGTGACCCTGGGCAAGTCACTTAGCCCCATTGCATAGCCAAAAAATAAAAAAAAAGTGTTGAGTTCCAAATTCTCTCCCTCCTGTCCACCCTCCTCCTACCAGTTGAGAAGGCAAGCAATATGATGTCGATTATATCCATGGGCCTTTTAAAAGAAGAGACAGGATCTAGCTAGGGTCCTCTCAATGCAACTCTGCAGATGGCATGAGAGGAGCACAGTGAGGGGTAGGGAAGGACACTCCATATTGTGACAACCTTGTTGTGGCTTCCCATGTGAGACTGCACTCTGGCTATCTCCCATTTCTACACTGCTCTCCTTTCTCATCTGTACTGCCTGGATTCCCTAGCATCCCTCCAGACTCAGCTGGAATCCCTACTTCCAAAGGGAGCCTCTACTGATAGTACCTTCACTTGAGATTACTTTCCATTTATTCTGCTCTTTGTGGAAACAACTCACTCTAAGTGGTGTTGGACCTATACTTGCCTAAATTGCAAACAGTTTTTATCCTCTTACACATCTCCATTTCCTGTAATAATGAAAGTTGACTCTTATAAAGTGGAGAGAATGCAAGAAGTCAGTATGACTTGGGTTCAAATACTATCTCACACACTAATTGTGTGACTCTGATTCTTAACCTTTCTGAGCTTCTCATCTGTTAAAAGAAAAAGTAGCTAATAAGAACACCTATCTCAAAAGTTTGTTGTAAAGTTCAGATGAAAAAGTGTATGTGTAGGGTACTGCCCTTATTTGGACATTTTATTTATTGAAAAAGGCAGGAAAAATGGCATTTGTGTGAGAAACAGATAAAAGTAGGCTGTGGAGAAATAGAGAAAGATAAAAAGTACTGAGTGAATGAATCTAAGTCAAAGCAACTCAGAGGCAATGATACTGACTGATAGTAGAGATGGCCATAGTACGTTGTTTCCCAATGACTACTTTTGAATATCACTGTTTTCAGGACTTAAAGCTTATTACTGGGAAAATCTGAGTCAAAGAACTATTTGGGGGCTATGGCGAATCTGAGTACACTACTTGTGTCACATGTGAGAGTAGTGTTGATTTGTTATTTCTTACCCGATCCTGATTCGAAGCATCAAGAGCCAGACTAGAAGATGAGAAGCCACATCTTGAGAGACTACTTGGAAAGCCAGCTGAGAAGACTCGGTAAAGCCCCAAAGAGAAAGTATTTTCAGAAGACAGAAAACACAAGCCAAGGGAGTTGAGAAGCTGAGATAAAACAGCCAGTCAACAGCATTGAGAAGCTGACAGAAACTGAGCGAGGCTGATAGGCAGGAGCTGATGCAGGGAGTTGATCTGATTGGGAGAAAGCTTAGACTCTGGGAACTGTTAGGGGAAAACAGCATCCTTTGCTTTGTGAAGAGCTGGCTGGAGAAAGGTTGCCTTGCTCTTCAGTGCCATCTATGGGTTGAAAGAGGGGAAACCCCACAAAGGCTACTTACATTGTTCCTGGATGCCCATTTAGGCTTTTAAGGGGGAAAATCTCTCAAAAAATATAGAGAGCAAGACTTGAATGTCTTTGAAGATCCCAAAGGCTAAAGGGGAAGTTTTTTTAATTTTTTGTTTGTTTGTTTGTTTTTTTACCAAGAGGACATCACACTACCTCAGCACCTAGCCAAAGGAACAGACCTACGAAGTAAAGCAAATCTCAGGCTTATAGCTGCTGTTAGCTAAAAGAGCTTAACACTGCTTCAGTGGTAACAGAGAAGAGACTTCATTCATCAGGAGAGCAGAGAGCCTCAAAATGACAGCGAGTGACATGGTAAACAGTTCCCAAAAGTTCCCGTAGATATACGGGTTTGCAGTCTAGAGTTGTGAGTCATGTGCTTCACTGATAGATTTCTGTAAATGTATGTCCATTCACCCTCATAGATAGCATATGTATCCATTAGTGGAAGCATCTAACCTTGGTTTATGAATGGAGTGTTTTGTTTTGCTTATTTCTGCATTTGCCTTCTATTTAGCATGTGCTATATAATAATGATGATGATCATATCTAACATTTATATAGTTTTTTATGTGCCAGGCACTGTGCTAAGCACTTTATAATTATTATTTCATTTGATCCTCACAACAACCCCAGAAGGTAAGTGCTATTATTATCACCATTCCACAGATGGGGAAATGAGGTTACACCATTTTGCCCTCAGTCACACAGCTAGTAAGTCTCTGAGCCCAAATCTGAACTCTGGTCTACTTCACTCCAGGCCCAGTACTCTATCCATTGTACTACCCTGCTGCCTATATAAAAGTTAGTTATTAATAGTAGTAGTGATAATAAAGATGTGATTTTTTTCCCACCCAAGTTCACAGAATCTCTAAAATCTATTGGGTTAAGAGCCCCTGGACCAGATGGATGCTAAAATTATTTCCAACTCCGAAATTTTATAAGTCTGTGATTCTGTGAGTCTGTGATATACAAGATGATCCCAGGATTATACAATGAATCTGTGAACTGTTCAAAGAAACTATAGGCTTGCAGTAAAAGAGAAGATATGAGTTCAAGTTTTGTTATTTCTTAGCAGGGTGACATTGTACAAGTAACTTCCAAACCTATGGATCTCAGTTTCTTCTACTATAAAACAAAGATAATTATACTTACACTACCTCACAGAGTTGTTGTCAGTAATAATAAGAATAATTCATAAATGTGTCACTTTTAAGTTTTATAGAGTGCTTTACATATGTAATATGTACAGAAGATGTAAGATTGACCTACCTCTCTTCAGGTTCTCTTTATATCCTTGGATTGGAGTTGCCCCAAATACCCTAACCTGTACATATTCTGGCAGGCCAGGATGGTTCTCCACAGGGGTAGCCACACAGCTATTATGATGCTGCTACAAGGTCCTGGGGGGTAACCCTAGTGTGGGGAAAATATATGTCTGTACTTAGAACTGTAGTTCATGAATACCCATGAGTGTTCTTTCCATTTATACACATCAGTCACAATAATACTGTTAGCTCTTTTTTTAAATTTAATTTTCAATTTATGAAATAAAACAAGCATATCTATAACATAATACAATAAAAAGATGGTTGCATGTGAAACTGCAAATCTGCTATGCACAACTTGCTATTCCTTCCAAATACACAACAAAATTATCATGTGAATTTCTTTTTTTCCTTCCCTCTCTGCCATGCCCACCTCTGCCTTAGAGATGGTTACCATTAGACACAAATAGGTGTGTGTGTGTGTGTGTGTGTGTGTGTGTGTGTGTATATATATATATATATATATATATATATATACAGATGTTATCTACATCCAGAGAAAGAACTGAAGTATGTATAGAACAACCTTTTATATGTGTGTGTGTGCGTATAGAACAACCTTTTATATGTGTGTGTGTGTGTGTGCACACACACATATAAAAGGTTGTTCTATACATACTTCAGTTCTTTCTCTGGATGCAGATAACATCTTTCTTCATATGTCCTTTGTAGTTAATTTGGATATTTATAATAGTCAGAATAACTTATTCACTCAAATATATTGCTGTTGCTGCATGCAGTGTTTTCTTGGTTCTGCTCATTTTGCTCTTCATTATTTTGTGCAAGTCTTTCCATGTTTCTCTAAAATTATTGAGCTCACATTTCTTATAGCATTGTAGTATTCCATTACAATGATATTACAACTTGTTTAGCCATTAACCAATTAATAAGCATCCCAGCAATTTCCAGTTCTTTGATACCACAAAGAGAGCTACTATAAATACTTTAGAACATATAGATTCTTTTCCTCTTTCCTTAATTATCTTCTGAAATAGACCAAATAGTGGTACTGCTGGGTCAAAGGGTATAGGCAATTTAAGAATTCTTTGGGCATAATTCCAAATTGCTCTCCAAAATGTTTGGATCAGTTCACAATTCCATCAACAATGATTTTTCCACATCTCCTCCAACATATGTTACTTTCTAGCCAATCTGGTAGGTGTAAAATAATATCTCAAGGTTGTTTTAACTTGCATTTCTCTAATCAATAATGATTTAGAGCATTTTTATATGACTAAATTATTTTGATTTCTTCATTGGAAAACTGACTATTCACATCTTTTGACCACTTATCAATTGGGGAATAATTTTTATTCTTATAGATTTGACAAAGTTCTTTATATATTTTAGATAGGAGACCAAGACTTGATCTGATAAACTGTCTATAGAATCCCCCCCTCCCAAATTTTCTGCTTGCCTTCTGATCTTGGCTACATTTGTTTTATTTGTACAAAAGTCTTTTAATTTAATGTAATCAAAATTATCCACTTTATACCTAACTTTGCACTCTATATCCTATTTATTCATAAATTATTCACCTATCCATAAGTATGGTAAATAAAATGTTTCATGTTCTTGAATTTTCTTATAAAATCTCTTTATATCTAGGTCATGTATCCATTTTGACCTTATCATGGTAAATGGTATAAGATATTGGTCTATGCCCAGTTTCTGCCATATTGCTTTCCAGTTTTCCCAACAATTTTTTACCATATGATGAATTCTTATCCCAAAATCTTAAGTCTTTATGTATGTCAAATACAAGGTTACTGTGTTTATTTGCTGCTGTAAATTGTACTTTGCTCCATTGATCTATTTTTCTGTTTCTTAGTCAGTATGAGATAGTTTTGATAATTATTGCCTTATAATACAGTTTAAAATCTGGTACTGCTAAACCTCCTTCCTTCACACTTTTTTTTCATTATTTCCTTTGATATTCTTGACTTTTCATTTTTCCAAATGAATTTTGTCATTATTTTTCTAATTCACATTCAAAGTTATAATTACCAGTTATGAATTTCCCTCCATCTTATTTTTATTCACTATTTCCCTTCTCAGCCTCTTTTCACCCTATCCGTTTTAACTTCTCTCTTTACCTTCTTATTTCTTATTTTAGCCACTCCTCTAAAAGTCCCTTATCTATTTACCTCCTGATCTTAATCTAATATACCCTTCTAAAAGTCCCTCCTCCAATTTATCCCCCAGTTTTTTCACCTCTGTAGAAATTCAGAAGACTTCTAAACCTTTTCAGATGTATATATTGTTTCCTCTTTAACCCGAGGAGTTAGTTTCCAATATTACCAGCCCTCCACTCCATCTGCTTTCTCTGTTTTAGCTCTTCCTTTCGCATCCTGTTTTCATGAGATAATATCTTCTTTTAACTTTTCCCTACCCAGTTTTTTTTAATCACCTCATCATATACAATTCAGCCCCAACCTTTCTTTCAAACTGCCTTAGTAATGATAAGTTTTAATAATACTATTACTAATAAGAATAACTAATAGTTACTAATATTAGTAACATTTTCATATATCGTAAGTAAACAGTTTGACCTTAATCATTGCTTTATAATTAGTCTTTAATGATTTCCTTATATTTCTTCTGGATCTTTTATATTGAATTTTCCATTGACTTTTGGTTTTTGTTACAAATACCTAAAAGTCTTATAGTTCATCAAATACTCATTTTCTTTTTCATTCAGGATTATACTCAGCTTTGCTGGATAAGTTATTATTAGATACAACCCCAGTTCCTTTGCTCTTCAAAATATAATATTCTAAGTCCTGTGGTCTTTTAGTATAGAAACTGCTAGGTCTAATGAAATCCTAATTGTTTTTCTGCAGTATTTAAATTTTTTTTTCAGTATTTAAGTTGTTTTTTTTTCTTGTTGCTTGCAATACTTTCCCTTTAACCTGGGAATTTTGAAACTTGCCTACAACATTCTTGTGTTTTCTTCCTAGGATCTCTGTATGGAACTAGATCAGCTATAGACACCATCTTAATTTTTTTTTTTGGAAAGAAGGATGAAAAGAAAGAATATGACGTGTACTAGAGGCCTTTCACCATTTTTGTTGCCCTCTCCAGTTTATCATTGCCCTTGGAAACCTATGATGCCCAGAAATGACCACAATTCTACTGATGATCTGGTCTGGCCAGGACAGAGTGTAGTGAGATTATTACCTCCTTACTACCAGGAACTGCCTATCTTGATGCAGCTCAATGTTGAATTAACTTTTTTGGTTTCCATGTCACATTGTTACCTCATATTGAATTTTTTAGTACACTAAAATCTAGAAACCTTTTGGAGAGAAGCTACTTTTCTTCCTTCTCTTAACTATGTTTCTATCCACTTGTACTTATGAAGTAAAATTTTCCCCTTTCTTTCATTCGTTCTTTTTTTAGCATTCATTTGAAAAAAAAAGAATTCCAAATTTTTTTTTCTCCTTTCTGTCATTCCCTCATCCCTTGAGAAGGCGAGCAATATGATTTCAACTATACATATTAGTCATATTGGGGAAAAAAAACATAAGAAGGCTTAAGAATGTGCTTCAATCTGCACGTAGAGTTCATCAGATTTCTCTCTGGAGGTTGATGGCACTTTTCATCATGGGTTCTTTGGAATTTTATTGATCAGAGTAGTTAAATCTTTCACAGTTGATCACTGTTACGATATTGCTATTACTGTATACAATGCCCTTCTGGTTTGGCTCACTTTACTTTTTATCAGTTTGTATAAGTCTTCCCAGATTTTTCTGAAACTATCCTGTTCATCAGGATATATATTTATTATAGCACAATAGTATTCCATCACAGTCATGTACCACAACTTGTTCAGCCATTACCCAAATGATGGACATCCCCTCAATTTCCATTTCTTTGCCACCACAAAAGATCTGCTATAAACGTATATGTATATATATGTATTCACACACATATATGTATATGTATACATAAGTGCCTGTGTATTTATAAATAAGTCCTTTTCCTTATTCTTTTTTCTCTTTAGGATATAGACCTAGTATTGGTATTTCTGGGTCAAAAGGTATGCAGTTTAATAGTTCTTTGGGCTAGTTCCAAATTGTTCTCTAGGTGGTTGGACCATTTCACAACGCTACCATTAGTGCACTAGTGTACCCGTTTTTCTACATTTCCCTCTAGCATTTGACATTTTCCTTTTCTATAATGTTAACTAATCTGGTAGGTGTGAGGTGGTACCTCAGAGTTGTCTTAATTTGAATTTCTCTAATCAATAGTGATTTAGAGCATTTTTTATATGTGAAAATTGAGAAAGTCAAATTGATTCTATTTGTAATTGATTTGTAATTGTGTTACTACCGAACTTACATTTCATTTGTCTCTGAGCTAAATTTGGAAGTTCAGATTTCTTGTAAATCAGTCATTATCTTTGAGCTAGTTTAGAAGCTTGATTTTCCTGCTAGTCCCTTTTCTATTCTTGTGTCAAGGAAATCTGTTACCCTTAAAAGATGGAGGTAAATACCAGGGAGTCTGGTCTGTTATCTTTGCAATACTAGCTGTCCTTCAAGAAAATCTGGTCTGTTATGGCTGTGACACTGACTAGCCATCCAGGTGGACACGACCAATGTGCTTTCCATAGTGATAAAATGGAAGGAGGGGTTGTTGCTAGTCCTATATTCCAAATTTTCAGCCAATCATATTGTCCCCCACATCTATGATGGTTCTGACTTTGTAACCAATAGTATTGTTTTCCCCATCTCTGATGCTGCCTTCTGGTTTAGATGCTCCTCCTTTTATTTATAAAAATTATCTGTCAGTGCTTATTCAAGGTCTTAGCTAGCTAGGGAGGCTGAGACTCCACTGGCAAATTTGTGCTTTGCTAATAAATTGATTATGTTTAGAGCTTTGTGTCTCTATTTACCTTAATTTTAATCACAACATATGACTATAGATAACTTTGATTTCTTCTTTTGAAAACTGCCGGTTCATAACCTATGGCAATTGGGAAATGGCTCTTACTTTTATAAATTTGATGTAGTTCCCTATATATTTGAGAAATAAGCCTTTATCAGAGAAACTTACATAGACTTTTTTGACATTACTCCATTTTCT